AGATTAATATCCCCCCACCCCAAATTTAAAAGCATTTCCAACCTCAGAAAAAGTGCAGCTCCTAGTACATGGATGAAAATCATGAGTTAATATTTTTGATTGATCCCAGAAGAAAATCAGTCCAGGGGTTGGAAGACTACAGTTGTCAAAGGGTCCATAAACGGGTTGGTGACATTATTGACAATGATGGGCACTTGGAATGAAATCACTTGTAGCTGATCTGTCTCAAAAGTCTCAAGATGTTTTCCAGGGACATCTTAAAATCAACGCCAAAGTAACTGTCTACCCTTTTTTTTGTAACATAGCAATTGCTGCAATCTCTGAGCAACTTTGAATATTCATAGTTTTAAGGCTCCAAAAGCTTTAGACGTCCTGTCCAACAAAGATGACTTGAGATCAATCTGAGTCTTGTACTGAATTTAATTTTCAGCTGGAGCACCTCTCCCAAAACAGCATCCAAACCCTTCATCCAGTCTTTGGTGGTAAAGTGCTCCTGTGTGTATGCCAGACAGCCAGACATACCTGGGCAGCAGTGTCACACACATTATTGTTGTTATTATTATTTTTGTTAACAACAACAACAACAACAACAACAACTTTCACTATTGTTGCAATGAGCTATGCAACCATTTAATTATAAATTCTCTTTACATCATTTTTATAGTCTAATGAAATGAACAGGACTCTAAAGATTACTCTTTTTTTCCTGCCTGTCCATTTTTTTCTTTTAAGCAAAGCAAAAAACCATGTGGCACTGCTTTGAGTCAGCAATTGCTTAAACTTTTTAAAATTCCATACGCTAAGTGAAAAATGAGATTTACAAAACTAATGGAAAATAAATATCTCCCGAACATGCAATACATTGACTTGCTTCCTTGCCTTAGTCCATAAAAACAGATGGAAGCAATAGCTACAGTGAATCACCTACTGTATGCAGGGCCCTGTGGTGTCTCTGGGCAGCACTGGATGAGAACAGACCATTCCACTTTAGCACCACCCCACTCTAGTGTTTGCCCTCATTGGTGTGGATCTGGGGGTGATCAGCCTGTTTCTCACCCTATTTTACACCTACAGTGCATAGACAGGGCTGTCTTTACACCACATTTCCACTGTACCTGGACTCCTGGATATATAAATAATGGCAATTTTCTCCCAGGAGCCTTGACCCAGCTCAATTCCTCTAAGCAAGGGAAATTTAGAGGCAAATCTGAAGGCACAATCCCTCAAAGGGATGCAGCCAAGGCACAACCTGGAGGAAACACAAGCAGTTGCTTTCCCAGGGATATACAATTGTTTTCCACAGCAAATAAGTTCCCAGCATGACTTCTTCACCACTCACAAGCCCTGTTCAATGTATCCTTGGAACACATTCCTCTCACCACACACACAGAAGGAAAACTAATCTGCACGGGAATGGTGTTTCAGGACTCTGCTTTCTGAAGTTTGCCTAATAAAGCAGAGAGCAAAGAACACATTATTTTCCTGAATATATGAATCATACCTTGATGGTGTCTACTTTGAATCATGGCATTCAGAGATCTCCCTGGAGCACTATTCCTTACTTTAGAAGAGAGCAGCTATCCCCAGCAGAGATGCAGCACATGTGTCGGGCTGATGGATGGCCATGCTCTAGCAAGAGTCAAAACACTTAGGAAAAAGAAGTAAAAAACTCCCTAGAAACCTTAACTAGCCGGAGAGTAATTTGAGCATTGCATTCAATTTACTGGCTACCAACAACAGCAACATTTGGCACCTTCCACAAAAGCTTTGCAGCAATGTCCTTTTCCCCACTGCAGAGCCCTCTCCCACTCACGCTGCCCACGTGCCTGTCGTGGTTGATGAGGGAAACGTGTTCCACTGAGGTCAAGGGCAGCATCACCACAACAAAAACACCATCAGGCCTTGGATCAAGAGAGATAAATGGAGCTTGATAAAAAATTCACCCCGACTTAATCCTTCTGATAGGACATAAGAAATACTACTCACGTATTTACATTACTAACATATTTGAACAACAACAACAAAAAAGCTTGTCTTGTAAACTAACAATTAAATATTAGAAATTAAAAGTACTGTATATTGCTTACACATTATTTAGTACTTCACTCAGCCCCTCCCAGGCCCTCACAAAGGAAATTCTTTCTGCAGCCAATGGACAATTTTGCAGGTTTTATCGGCCCCCACAGGAAGGGACAGCACCATCCCAGTGCTGGGCTGACCAGAACAGCCTGTTCCCAGGTTTCTGCAGAACCTGGGAACCCTTCCTGCAGAGCCTGCCAAGACCAACCAAACAGAAATGCAGTACCTGAGCAATGCACCTGCACAACAGCAGGGAACAAACCTGCTTCGACACCTTTACACTCCATTCTCCTCAAGTGTAGGAATTACCATGGCTGACATTTTCCATAATGACTGGCCCTATGGTGACATCCACTTGAGACAGAATCCTGGAAATTAGGAAGTTTAAATTTCCACTTATTAAAAAAAACTCAAACAAATCAACAACATAATAAGAATCTTTGCATATAAATTCACTTCCATCTGCAGCATCTGCAGGTATTGCTGTCAGGTGGATGGTGGATTCTCAGAACCAAGAGCAGGCTGTGCTGCAAGGGCTTATTGCATTAAAAAACCCCTCAAATATATGCAAAACTGGACTCAAATCTGTCCAGAAGACAAAGCCTAAGGCCAGAAGAACTACTTTACTAATTAAGGCTATCTGGGCTCTCCTGTGTGACCTTCAGAGTGCACCAGCTCTATGTTGTGAGATCACCAGGTTAAACAGAAATACATTAAAATTAATGGTATCACCAGCCCTGGTCTCCCATCCATCCACCAGTCAGGCTCACTTCACAGGGAAGGACATTCCCTAAGCTCACATGCTGTCTTCTGCCAAATCATGTGCCATTTGCTTTCAATAAAAAGGATCTTTAACCACTGCTACTCATGCAAAAGAGCACTGAGCAGGGAGAGGGCCAGTGCAAATGCAAATCTTTTGGGTTCCTTGGGAACCCAAAGGAAACAGGATTTCTCACAACTAGAGCTGGCTGCAATTCACCACTATTTTCACACTTTTTTCCCGAGGAATTTTTCCAGTTGGACTGAAAATCTTTCCAGCCAGATAAAATGCAGTCAATGCATAAATGAGTTGACAAGTCATTCTCTGCACATACTAAGTTGCTTTTATTAATCCAGAACTGCATGCTACAGATACTGTACAGCATGAACATTTATTCATTACAAAAAATGGCTTCCAAACCATTAAAAATGAAAATCGGAATAAGAGCATAAAACGGAACAGTAACATCACAACTGTTAGGAAACATTCAAAGTATTCACAAAAAATGTTATAGTTAGCATCTTAATAAACCAGAGAAAAATCTGAGACAGTTTTACAATCGCTTCATGTCAACTACAATGGCACTGAATGAACAGATGAACAATTTTTCAGCTTTATACAGCGTTTTTTGCAACATCAACATGCCTAGGTTTTTTTTTTTGTTTTAAGTTTGCTACCTACCTGTATGTAGTAAGTGTACATAAAAGTGGCAGTCTGATTTTCCTTTTATGAATAATCTAATATACAGAATTTGGCCCTTAAGGGTTTATACCTCTTCATTTTAAATGCTTTCCGGACAATCTGCTACCAAACACGTCTGTTATAGGTGACATTAAAACTACATACATATCTACCTATGTAACATCACAGCAAAACATGATGAACAAAAAAATTACAGCATTAAAAAAAATAATAAAGTTGTCGGGAGAAAGTTAAAAGTCACTGAGAATTTTGGCACATAAAAATTTTGCACACAGCCTACAGTCCTAATGTCGCAGGGGATTCAGCTGCAGTTCTGAACGGGAGACACTTGGACCTTGCTATTTTTCAAACAGCATTGCTAAAAATTCCCTTGCTAAATTTTCAAGTCTTTTTGAGTGTAATGGCTTTTAAAGCAATTTTATTCTTTACACTATTGATCCTTGAAAAAAATGCATCTGCGAATGTCCATTTGGTGGCAACCGTATTTCATATAGCAAAAAAAAAAAAAAAAAAAAAAAAAAAATCATGAAAACAAATCAAAAACAAAATCCCGGAAAAAATATATATATACACATTTATATATAAACTTAAAAACCTTGTACAAATGAGTTGTTATATATAAGATGCTTACACTAAAGGAAAAAAAAAAACCTTTATACAATGTTTCAAGGAAAAAGTAAAAGAAGAAAAAAACATTTAAAAAGGGACAACATACAGATACAACAAGCAATTTCTAAAGCAATAAATACTACTGGTCCAATAGCGTTGTGATACTTTTAATTGTTGAGTAGCGTCCCCTCCCCCAAAAAGAACAACACCATGGAACAAGGTATATTAACACATTTTTTTAACCCTTTGTTTCTGTACATTTAAACAATAACAAGTAACATCACAATAAAGGTTGTTTCACACAAGGAAGAAAAAAAAAAGAAGTAGTAGCGGCACCGCATTCGTTGTGCCCTTAAAGGTTTAAAAACCAGATGTAAAATGATTGGTTCGCAAGCTCGTATTTAATACAAATAATAAAGAACCAATGCCTCTGGCAAGGGCTGCTTCAAAATTGCTTCTTTTTTTTTTTTAATTTTTAAAATCAGTCTTTAAAACTAAGCTATTGGAACTACATAACAATTATGTATATATATATATTTTTTAAACGCTACAAAGACTTTAAACAGCTGTTGATAAAAATTTTGGCAGAATCATGAGGCTTTTCTCATCTACATATTTAAAAAGGAGAAATTGAAATAAGAATGGGTCAAATATTGACCAATGAACTCGATAAAACATCAACTAATGTAGCCACATGGCACAAATTAAAAATGAAACCGAGAAACGACGACAAACAGCGGACGACAACAAGGAGAAGAAAAAAAAAAAATAAAGAAAAGGAAAAAAAAAAACCAAACCAAAACCCCAAATACCAACAGAATTCAATCCCCCCGAAAGGAAACCGAAAGGGCTAACGAGGCTAAAGCTATTCTAAGGACTTCGTTACAAGGGAGAGCGGCTGGGGCTGTGTCCCCGGCAGCGAGCTGTGGGAATGCAAGGAGGACGTCGAGGGCTGTGCGAGGGATGCGGCTGCGGCCGGCGGGAGGGCGGCCGGCGGGTGGTCCAGGGCCCCGTTGGGGCAGCTGGCGGCGGGCAGGGCGCCGGGCTTGCTCGCGGCGCTCTCAGCGAGCACGAGCGAGGATGGCGGCGGCATCATCACCAGGTGCGCCAGCGGGTCGGGCTTCAATGACAGCGAGAGGGGTTGCGTTTGTTCAGTCTGTGGTTTCGAGTCTCTGGAGGGGGAGGCGAGCATGGCGGGGGAGGACGGAGGAGAGTCTAGTAAGCTTCCATCTGAAGAGGGTGGGCTGACGCAGCTGCCTTCACCTTGTATGTAGCGAACGCACTTTTTTTTTCTCCTAGAAACAGGGAGAGAGTTATCCATGAATAAAGGGCAGAGACGCCGATGGAGACAGTCATCTACAGCAAAGAGCCATCAGTCAGCTACTCTGGGCTCTGCATGGGTGGCATCCTGGCCCCACGTGCCATCCTGGGGGTCTGGCAGGGTGTCCTCGGCACCAAACCCGCTGGGGAACCTCCCCTCGGCTAACAGATTTGGAAAGGATTCACCAATTCATTGTCTCTTCATCCCTCTCCTCTTCAGGCCGCCTCCTTTCCTTATTTTCATAATCAGAAAACCAGATAAATGGGTTTTGGAGCCCACTGTTCTAATCTACAAACTTTCCTACATGGGAAAAAAAAATATTAAAAAGTAATTTAATCCTCCTAAAATAAAAACCCTGGATAGCTGACGGTATCTCAAGATGTCCCATAACACTGTCCAACTCAATGGGGCTATAGCTACACCTGCATCACCTGTGGTCTCATACGATGCCCTGTCCTTGGGAGGCAAGATCAGCTGCAAACTACTGCTCATTGCTTTCTCCTCTGTTAAGAACCACACCAAATCCAGAAATGTCAGTCAGACAGAAGGGATATATAACAGAGAGAACAAGAAAGAGGGGAAATAAAAACAAAACGAACAAACAAAGCAAACAGAAGAAAAAAACAGGAAAAAGAACAGGAAAAACAGAGTATGATCCAAAATAACAAGAATAACTGGTTGTATGGCCTGCAGGTTGTGGCTTTAAATCGACTCAGTTTTAGTTTTCGTTTTAGGGGAGAATAGTAGATTTGGGAAGCTGCTTGTCTGCGTTTTGGGGATTTTCCTCTGAGAGGCCATCCATGTAACTCCAGAGTGGGATCCAATTTCAGTAGGTGAAGAGCACGACGACAGGTACAAAGGTGAGGAGCAACATGGATCTTAATTTCACACCAGGGTATGCGAGAGTCTCGCAAGAGCCGCTCTTCTTCAAATAAATAAATGACCCGACAGAGATCTTTTCTCCTCCCTCTGTCCACTGGATAATGTAAAGGAGCAATGAAAACAGATGACAGTTTCACACCATTTCTCTTGCCAAGTATGTGCAAGACAATTCTAGCAGCAGGACAGAAGTAATGAGGCAAACAACCACAGTATCTGACAGAATGATGTCCAGTGGCCACCTTGACCCTAAGCATGCTGGCTCTTCAGCCCTCCAATCCACAATCACACTTCCCATGGGAAGTGCTGAAGTGCTGTCACACAGCCCAAGGCATAGGACAAAGCCGGTCTGGAGCAGCTCTGCCACGAGAACTTTGGATGCTCAGCTAAGCTGCACAAAGCCACCAACGTGAAGGAGGAGGTTGCTCTCCCTCTCCAGTGGATACATCACCCCAGCTCTGCAACTCCATCAGAGGGAGTGCCTGAGCGTGGCACAGCAGTTGAGTGTCACCAGGGGACATTCCCCACTCCAGTAGGTGCCCCAGTTTCCCTGCTGGTCACCAGTGCTCTCCCCTAGGTATGGCATTTGACTAGGTTAAACCAAGCTCCACCCTCGAGGCAATGAGATGCTTCTCATTTGCAAAGGAGACCACACTATCTTGATCCTGGAGTTAAAACTATCATCTCCCATAGCCAGGAAGGGAACAACAAACCCAGTACCCCATCTTTCACCAGCTTCAGTGAGGGAACAGTGCTGTGACATCCCTTCCTCCAGAGACTCAGGTCTGCTCTCAGATTCTGCTCCATGTGCCACATGGCAAGGTAAGGGGTTAGGGCTATTAGAGTTTTAACCACGTTAGCCTGCAGATCAATACATGCTAAAAACTAAAGACAACCATGCAACTTAAATGTTAAAAAGAAAGAAAGAAAGATAGAAGACAGCAAGTGAAGGCTGTAAACCATGCTTTATTAGAGCAACGTTAAAAGACAGGAAAAAATTAATTTGGTGGGCTCAAAACAGACCTTGTTAATTCTTCTACCATCAAAAAACAACACTGGAGATCTCTGGCTCTTGGCTAAGGACAGTTCTGCTGTTCTCTCTCCCCTCTCCTCTCACTACTTCCTACTTCAGCTGTGCAACACTACCAGGGCCACAGTTCCTGTTTGGACCTTCTGTACAGCTCCAGCAAGAGAGTCAAGCTCCACAAAGCTCACCAATCCTACTTGTGTGGAAAGATGAGTTCTTACAATCTGGAGACTGCAGGACTCCCTCTCCATCCCCAAATTGAAATTACTTGCAAGCAGAGACCCAAGCTCTGCCTACCTCATTGATGGGGGTCCAAAAGTCCTTTAACTGGACTGCTCTGAACCTATAGGGCAGTAAATTACTTAACTGGAGGCACTTTGAATCTAGTATGCCAACATTTCAAATTTTTTTTAATATTATTTATGTTCTGTGGCCTGAAAGAAAGAGCTCCCATGGCAAAGCAACATTAAACCAAATTTACCTGACTTTCTGACACTGCAGAGCTAACAACCTTTTAAAAAAAAACCCATTGCTCTGCTACCTGAAGTAATTTTCCTTTGACTAGGATTAAGGGAGCATATTGCTTCTTTTGCCAAACTCTTTAATAGTGTGGCCACTCAGTAGTCTGAAAATAATATTTACTTAAATCATGATGGCTCATGGTTGGAGATATTTCTGCAATCTGCGCCAATCGCACCATGGTTACCTGTGGTCATGTACCTGTCAGGGTTAAGTGGGACAAATGGTCCAGAGGGCAAACCCCCAAACCATGCAAGCCTAATTTTAGTAGACATGAAGACCACCAGGCAGCTCTGGTGAGGGGGAGTAAGCAAAAATCTAAGGAACTACTCGTGCCTCAGTTTTGCTCTCCAAAAGGCTGGAACAAAAGTACTACATATTGCCCCCTCAGAAGCACTAATGAGGATTATTCACTTGTGCATTGCTCTGAAAGTGTTAACTTGCTACATCAGTAGAGCAAACACAGCAGACCTGAACCCACTTTTGCTGCTTTTGAAACTAGCCCTGGAACAGCATCAGGAAACCTGTAATGCTGCAATTGCCATGAGTGAAAGCCACAAAAGAGTGCAAGGCTTTATTCAGTTGCTGTGGGCAAAGATGTCTCAGTTTTCACTACAGTAGCAAACTGCACATCTTTAGCACCTACCTAAGGTGTGCAACAAAATGCTACCATGCTAGCAAGAGCAATGTTACAACGGTTAGGACCAGAACTAGGAGACAAATGCTCTAATACCTAGTGGTAAAATGCCTCCATGCATGAAAAAACAAAACAAAACAAAACAAGAAACCAAAACAAAACTAAAAGAAAAGCAACTGACTCTGAATCAGTAAGTCCAGAACTATAGCTGTACCACTGAAGTTGTCCCTGATGCACTGAAAAGACTTCTGACCAAAATCTGGTAAAAGTTAAGAGAGGGTTTATGCTTCACATGTAACCTAAGCACTGTACAGACCAAATAAAAAGTTTCCTTGCTGATAAAATGTAGTTTTAAAAGTATGTTGCTTACTTAAGCAGCCAGGAAAAGATAAAGCAACACAAACATGATGTGCCCCCAGTTCTGGTACTTGGCATGCAGAGCCTGACATGCTTCACATACTCTATCTCTAGACTACACAAATATCTGCTGATTGTGTGCAGCAAAGTAACCACAGAATAGACCCTAACTAAACACAGCACTGCAGTCCTTGGCTAGCATGAGCCTCCTGACACAGTGAAGTAGCTACTCAGCTCTTCTGGACTGAACCCTTCTCCCTTCGAGCACTACAAAACTGCTGCTTTCCCAGCTTGTTTAACACGTGTCCTGGTACTGATACCTAACCCCCAGCACCCCATAATACAGTGCCTCAAATGGGACAACATCCAACCTGCAGAAGGCATTTCTGGTGCCTCCTCTGGTACACTGACACAAACCACCACCCTCAATCCTGGACACTAAGCACAGACAAGACTGCGTGCATACACAAAATACGATGGACGTCTGAGCTACATTCTAAATGAGATGGAGCACATGGGACTGGCATGAGTAAGAGGGGAAAATGTGGGAGAGGAATCACTACACACAGAGTGTGGTTTGGGTTGAAATACCTACCATCATAATATTCCAAATTCAAAGACTGCTTGTATCAGAATAAAGAAACAACAAATTTAACCAAATGCGATCATATAAGGAAAAAGGAATGAGAAAAGAACTACTCGGTATCCCTCCACCAAGAAAGAAGTACGTACTGAGTTACACATGGAATTAAAACTCCAGTAGAACATGGGCTGCCGGAATTTGGGCTCTCTGATGTCTTTCATCTCCTTTAAATGCTGGAAACTGTGCTACTAAAGTTGTAATTAGTTTTGTCTAGAGCTCAGACGTTTACAGCTCACTTGTTGGGATAAAATTTAAGAAAAAAAATATTTTTGGGATTAGGAAAAAAGATTTCAGATAATTAAAAATATATCTACATAAACCTTACAGAGGCAAAGTAGCCAACAGGTGTAGCTGTTTTAATTTTTCAGATGATTCCAAAAGAATGAATACAATATAAGCTGTAAACACTGGCTTTTACATCTCTAATAACGAGAAAAACACTAGTACTGCAGATCCCAGAACCTTTTTAAAAAGCCTCTGCAGGCAGGGGACACAGACCCAAATGAAAGACAAAATATAAATGTCCAGCTAAACATTAATTTTGCTGACAATCTGGAAAAAATAACCAAAAAAAAGCCAAAAAATTGCCAGCTTTAAGGACTTCGAGTTTTCTTGTTCCCAGTTCTACCACCAGGGAGAGGTTATTGGTAAAGAAAGAGAGAAAATGGCATTAAATTAGCAAGAAATTCCAAAGATCAAAGATTATTAGCAATTGATGCTGTGGGAGAGAGAAAGGTGGGGAGTGGGGAAAAAAGATTAAAAAAATAAAATCACACAAATGCACTAAGAGGACAGATTGCTTTTATTTCCCCAAAGGCCTAATGGGTAGTTTTATACCTGCATGGTTTGCACCATAAACTCTGTCGGTCAAGCCCGAACAATGCCCGACACTTCTTTGGAGTATTTGCATCTGTTAGCATAAGGTAAACACAAAAAATACAACACAATGGTGGATAGAGCTCATTTGGTCTGCGTCATCTCAGCTACAGCTACGTTCAGCTTGCAATCACCTCCGCTTTATTTGGTAATCTCCCCTCGTACCAAGGGCAGGAAGGAAAACAGGACTTTCACAATGAGCCAAAGGAAAACCAAAAAACAAAAATCTCCAACACAGCCACGAGCCTGTGTGGTGTGGGTACCGCACTCAGTGCCGCGTTATCAAGGGCTTTGGGAGCCACTGTCCTTGGGTGGAGGCTTGGAAGGCAGGAGCGTGGTTGAGCCACGGATCAGATGGGCTTAAGGTTGATGCTGTTTTACAGTGGGTTTTTGGCTAGCAGCAGCAAAGGGGAAGGCAAAAAAAAAAAAAAACAACCAACCAACCAACAAAGGAAAAAAAACAAAAAGCAAAACCCTTTCGGAGAGATGATTACTGATGGCAGTGTCCCACTCCCTTGTGTCTTCTAGATCACAACACAGAGCTACAAAGCAACAAGGCAGGAAAAAAAAGGGGAAAGTACCAAATAAACCAGCTGCAAATCAGCCATAGCGAGTCTGGGAAAACTATACACACCTGCAGGGGCCGCACCAGTTATTCTGTTGATCAAGGCCAAAGCGCGCTCGGCATTTCTTAGGAGCGCTCAGGTCTGAATGAGTTCAAGAAAAGCGAGCAGAAAAGGGAGAGAGGAAAAAAAGAAAAGGGGAGAGGGGGGAGTGAGAGAGAGAGAGAGAGAGAGAGAGGAAGAGAGAAAAGGGGAGAAAAAAGAGAAAGGTAAAAATAAGGAAAAAATAAAAATAAAAAAGGGAATAAAAATCAATGTCCTTGTTATTAATTGCAAATATTGACTTTCGATTTAAAAGTTAAAAAAAAGTGATAATTACATTTTTATTCAACTCTTGAGATTAGCTGTTGCAATTAAAGCTGCAGTATCCCTTTATAAAGGACTGTTTCTTTCCCTTTTAAGAGAGCAGGTAGAGGAAAGTCTTTATGGTTGGTCTAGCAGGATGTTTCAGGCAAGATTGATTTGGGCTGGGGTTTCTTTTTTCTTTTTTTTAAGGGGGGGGAAGGAAGAAAAGAAGCTGAGTATGGAAGTTAGATCCTGAACATGCTTTTTTCTTCAACTCAGATACAAAATAAGAGAAAAAAAAAAGAAAGGAAAAAAAAGAAATTATATCTCCTGGGATAATGCAGCTTTTGGAATAACATTCAATTTACTTGTTTTCATTAATTTGTATTTAAAAGAATGGATAAGAATAAGCAGACTGCGGAATGAGTATGTTAGTATCAGCCAGAAAATAAAATGTAAAGCATGGCAAGGTGCTGAGTTAGTACAGCTAGTGAATTGCAATGAACAGGCTTGAGCAGAAAGGAAAAAAAAAAAGATCCAAAACTAAAATAATAACAAAAAAATGCGTATGCATGCTAATGTGAGAAGACTTAGTGGGAGCCATGAAAAATGCCATTAGATTAAGGAGGTTCATTACTGACTTGCTTCCATTCTTTATCAGTCTCTTTAAAGAAATACTGCATATTCAATTTGCACAGTTAGTACAACTCTTGCGTTATTTTTACTGTATTACTGTTTTAATAGCAATTGTTACAAAAACAAAAAACAAAATTAAAAAATACTATCAAACATAATAGATATAAAGATATATAGATAATAAATACTATCAAAACGTGTGGATGGTATTTTTTTCTTAATGTCATAAGTGTTTAATGTTAAAATCTATAATGGCAGGAAAAAAAATTAAAAAGCAGTTTATAAACTATTTTAAATGACTCAAAATGACGTTAGCACCTGTAATCGGAGGAAGTGAAAGGCAAGGATTTAGGAAACATTCGCTGTGTTCTGAAAAAAAAGAACAAATTATACAAAGGCTTCAAAAAAACTAAGTTAGGGCTTCTTCAAGATCGACTATGAGATTGCCTATGCAGTATTTCTAATTTCCTATATAGAATGGCAAACCTCCTTAATTTAAGATGGGTGCGATTTACCACTGTAAGGCATGCATCAGGACATCCAGGGACAGCCCAAATTAACAGCGCACGCACACGGACACGCACACACGCGCGCGCGGGAAGCGCACGGCTGATAAACCACGGCACAGGCATTACAGCTACGGCTCTGCGCTACAGCCTCGGCAGCCACGCGGACAAACCCGGCCGTGCCGCGCGAGGAGGAGGCTCTGACATGCAATGGCTGGGTTACTAGGTTTAGAAGGGCGGTAACGCGGGAATTATTGGAGTGCATTTTAAAAAAAAAAAAATGCTGTCTAGCATAGGGACTGGCTCCCCTGAGGCCAGGAGACCTGTGCCCACCTCCCCCGTACCTACAAGGGTCGCACCAGGACTGCCACACTTCCACTAAACAAGAGGTTTAGACTTGTCTTTACTTACCATTGGTCTCTCCTGGCTGCTTATCCCTTTTCCTCTTCTTCTTCTTTCCCTGCAGAAAACATACACAAAGGAGAAGGATTAGAATTAAGCCCCAAAGAAGTGTCCTTGCAAGAGGGCACGGAGTAATGAGGCTGCAGCTGGAGCAGGAAGCTCCCGGGGGGGACACTGAAGTGTGATGCTGGCTCACCCCCTGTGCAGGGAACTTTGGATGGCCCCAGGGAGATGCCGCACCCCAGGACTGACTCTGCCTGCCCACCCCGTGAATTTTCAGACAGCCTCACTGCTGTCCACTGCTCCACTGCTGTCCAGTGCAAACACCCACCAAGGCCATGGGCAGCTGGGGTGGGGGCAGAAGGATTTGCAAGATGCTGCTTTTGAGCTAAGATCATCATGAAGCCAAAAACATCTCACATGTGTACGCTCCTGCATGCAGAAGTTTCAGGAATCATCTGTGGTCATGTATTGGTAGGGCAGAGAGGGGAAGGAGAGGGAGAATAGAGAGGGAAGAGTGAGGTCAGACTGAGCCTCTGGAGTTCCTCAGCACCAAACCCCAAGCATTCAAGCAGACAAGGAAGCCCACAGTAATGAATGTATCCTAACTTGCAGTTTTATAGTTCCACTGACAACCTAGAAAGCAATGCTAGGACAAGGAGAAAAAAATCCAGACATAGCCAAGACCCTTCCCACATTTTGTCCTATCACAAGGAAACAACAAGTAATATTTTGCTAAACTCTATCCCTTTCCCAAATGCTGTATCACAAGATGATGAAATTTGTTACAGTTTTTGACTGTAGGGGGAAAAGCCTATTCTGTTTCTCTCCAGCAGTGTGGGAGAGGACAACTGGGAGCCCAGCTTCTGTAAAAAAACAGTAATTGCTTTCCAATAGAAAAAATATGAAGTAATAAGCACAGCTCAAAAGAGAAAAGCTATTTTTCCAAGAAAACTCCTCTGACACTGAGGTACAGGGTTTAGCAGACTAGTACAACAAGGCCAATGTAGGCAACAGAGTAATTTCATTTTCGCAGCTCTCCAAATGCTAAAAGCAACAACTTTTGGGCCAGCAATGTCAGCTGTGAACAGCACAAGAATTCCTGGCTTTGAAGACATGGTAGCAAGTGCAGCTGGTGAGAAGACCTCAAAGCAGCAGTCCCTTGTGGTCAAGGGGCAACAAACATATCTTGGAAGAAGGAATCTCACAGAACTTTTGAAGGGTTGGATGTATCTGGGAAAGCCAAGAGGTTCTCCCACACAGTGGGCATCTTTCTCAGTAGATGGATTCCAGATACATGGTTAAGATGGACTTCAGTGTGGCACATCCACACTTGGGATGCTCCCTATGATAGATTTCCTGGAATGTATTAGTAAAAAATTCCCCCAACGTGAATGTAGGACATTGATCTGTCATTGTCCTGTTTTTCCTCCACAAAGTTGGCCTTGTGGCACAGGGTTTCTGCACTCATTCCCCATGCTTGCTCAGCATTGTAAACTGCCATCCTGTTGTCCAGGCTGTTCCAGGTTTATGAGATCTTTCTGGAGATGGAAAAAGCAGTGTGAACTGCCCACCTCAAAGGAACTTTAAACAGGCACATAATCCTGCAGCCTTGATGCTGATGACAAATAATCTCTGACAACTCTTGGGGTAATTTTTTGGAATATGGAAGTTGTCAGTTGCTAGAGCAGCCATCAGTCTAACATGACAGGCAGATAAAGGCAGACAAGCATTGCTCCTAAAGCTCCTTGAGAACAGAATAGGGAAAAGCATGGTATCTTGAAATCCATGTATCACATAAAGATGCAAGAGGCTCAGACTCTGCTCCATCTATATTGATCTAGATTGACAGTAACTCTGCAAAAATCAGTGAATTTTTTCCAGCTTTCAACAACATAACCAAAACCAGACAATTGTCTCAAGATCATAAGCCTGACTTTTATTTAATCTCAAGGAGGCCACTGTCATAATTAACAGACTGCATCTATGGCAAATTTGCCTAATTTTTCAGTACATTTGGGAATTCAAGGGCTATTTCAATTTGAGACCTTATAACTTCACTCGAGGGCCAGCCAGAACAAAGGTCAGGAGTCACCTGCCTTTCACAAGCTCTTCAAGCCAGGTATTAAAGTACTGTAATGCCATTAGGGAGCAATCTGTTAAAAACAGCTGATCTACAGGAATGTCAGCCAGGGACCAGGAATTTCTTGTTCTTTTTCAACACAAGCTTTTAAAACTCTTTCTTCCTAACAAAGAATGGACAGATGTCACATCAACTTGTTTACACCCTTTTCAAAGCATCAGGGAGAAGAATAATCTGGTTTGCTTGTTCAATTTCTGGGCTACAAGAGGATATCAGACTATGTAGCTAAATTAATATATGGATTTAAGGAAATAACTGAAATAACTGTGGCAGTAGTTTTTCAAGTGCTCTGCAGAAGGCACCATTTTTTCTTTGCCTAAGATTATTCTCCCAAGACTTGAGCAGGTTGTAACATTTTCTGTCGTCATACTATACAAATTTTTATGCTGCACTTAAATATGGATTAAATACCTGCTAACAATTTTGGTAGCTCCCTCTCCAGAACCAAACCAACATGGGCTTTGATAGGTCTGCAGAGTTCTTTGGTACTAATTTTCTAAACAAGCAGTGGGTGAGGTGACTGGACCCTTACATACTTCTGAGTCCAGCACTCAGCACTGCTAAACATGTCACATTAGATCTCAGGAACAGCCAACGTGCCTTGTGACACCAACAAGCCATGAGGCTGAAAGCTGCATTTCCTGAATGCACTGCTCCTGTCTCTGAAGACTTGGGCTATAGCTGGCCTTATCCCTGAGCCTGATGTGAGGTGCTTAACAATTTAACCACTTCAAGCAGCCCAAAGTCGCTCCCCTGCTAGATGTGTGAAAGGCTCAAGACCCTACAAACGGCTGAGGGAGGAGGGGCACTCAGGAGAGCTGTGAATGGACCAGGAGAGGAGACATAAATAAATCCTGCGGATGATGCAAAGGTACCACGCTCTCCTCAGGCAGGAAGGTTCCCCCTGAAGGTCACCTGGGGGTACAGCATCAAGCCGCTGGGAAAGCACCGGCTTTCTCATCCTGTCCTTTTTAGCTTGAGAAGAAAGGGTTTCTCAGTGTTCACACAGTGAGGACAAAAGTAAAAGGTCCTAAACACTGAGGCTTTGTACATGCCCATCTGTCGGTGGCACAGTCACTGCGCAGAATGAGCATTCCCGAAACCTCAGTCGAGCCTAGACTCCCTTTTGAACACCCAAGACGATAATACTGCACAGTGCTGAGCAACTACCTCGAGCCTATGGTCTGACAGCCTCAGGCCAGACTGTGCTGAAAAGGGAAGGAAAATGTGCTAAGCAGGAGCTGTGCCTCATCAGGCTTAAAAAGGTCTCCTCTGAGGAGCACAGGATTAAGAATATTCTGAACTGGAAGGACAATTGAGCATGCGCAGGTGTACCTGTAATGACCAAGGAGGGAGAGCTGAGCCCGGTGGGAAGAAAAGATGATCAAGAAAACAGAAGGATTTGAAAAAGTGTCCTTAAGTACATATTGCTAAATAAGTGAGCATGTGTATTCTTCACCACTGAAATGGCAGAAGAGTGTGAAGAGCTGCTGCTGCTTCTCCTGGCTTCACTGAAGACTCTAAACTGGCTTCCTCCCACCCATACATACAAAAATGCAGATTCACGGAGGCAAGTACTGTCATATACAGTAAAATAGAATATTTATGGTAAAACAGGCAGTGATTATGATGAGGATAGAAAAGACAGACTTCAGCAAAACTGTAAGGTGAAGTCAAAACTGGCATCAATCTTAAGAGCTGTTGGTCCCCAAATCTGCAGGGAAGTGTGACTAGAAGGCAGAGAACAGGGTTTATTACAGAGTTACAGACCTTGAGAGTTTTAGGTGATTTTTATTTAACTTAAAAAAAAAAAAAATCAAGATGTTGCTATAATCCTATTTAAAAGGGTTTAGAGCTCTCACCAATCCACAAATCTGTCAAGAATTTATGGGCTTAGGCTTGCAAACACTTATTACCATCTGCACCGCTTACCCTTCATGGAAGGAGCTATTTAGTACTAGGGGTTATAAAGCTGCCCTTATGCTTTTTAACAGACAAAAAATACTAGCACTTTTAGCTCAGAAACAGGCTTTCTGAAAAGTAGAAGGAGGAATCAATTTTAAATAATCCATTAATTGATCATGAATCCCAATATACTTTTTAAAAAATTAGAGGGGTAGGGGGAAAAAAATAGGTAATATGGGCATGAAAAAGAAAACATAAACAAAATACACAACTACAGAGTGTGAAATTATTAATTTAACCCCACTTGAGAGTAAGACTTTCAAAAATACAATGCTTTTGGTTTTGCCAGTCCTTCTCTGAAGCTAGGATAAGTCATTCTTCCACTTTCCACTACACTCTTACACACATAAGCACAAGACACTAATTATTTATCTCTTTTGGTGGAAAGGAGAGGAGCATACAAGGGGCATTTTAAATTTCATTTTAAAAAATGAAATTCAAAATGACCAGCAAGCCAAACAGCATTTCCAGATGCTGGTAAAAGTGAAGGGAAGACTTTTTTCACAGAGCTCTACTGTTATCCTCAAATTCGAACCCCATACTAGTCCCAGCCAGGGAGCTTCATCCAAGTGGGAATTACCCCCCAATAGTTTCAGTATCTCTGAGGGAAGCGCCTGTTGTTGTTACCAGTTTGGGGTCCCGAGACTTTCCACGCAGTGCTTGTGTGCAATGTGTGGCTGTAGCTCAGCAAGTCACACAGACATTTCTACAAGCTCTACTACTACAAGTTTCTACCTAAATAGGAACCTACATAGTTATCCCGTGCAGACCAGCCCGGGTACAGCTGCATGTGAAGCTGTCGCTCCTTCCTTGCTAGTTCATAGTATTTCGCTTGCTCTTCTCTGGATAACGCGTGCCACTGGGGTGGAGAAAAGACAAAAAAGACAAAATAAAAAGCACTAGTGGTTGGGGGTTTTTTAAGCATGTTAACAGCAAAGTGTGTTATTTATACATATAGCTACAGTTAGAATCGATTTTCATAAAAAAAGAGATAAAAACAGATGATCTGGCATTGGCATGCTGACATTCGTATTTTATTTACAGCTCTAGATTATAACTGCAGTTAAATCAACTGAACCACAACTAATCATTTACATGCACTCAACCCTTTTGTCTCCTGTTGAGAGAGGAGAATTAAGAAATCTAAACAAAAACAGACAGCAGGGGAGATGGTCCAGAAGCTGAACCACTCATTCTGAGCCAGAACTCAGTTCCAGCTTTGGAGGTGTCTCCCCCACTGTCACTTCCTCTCCTCTTCTAGCTCTCACAGGTGCTAATACTGGTACTGTACTCAAAGGTTTTTCATTTCCCATTTACTTTTCTGCCTATCTTAGGCCAAAATAAAAATCTTAAGATTTTTTCATCAACCAGTCATGGAAATGATACTGAAATAACACCACTATTAATCAATTCCTCCTCTTCCCCATGAATGACCCCACTGGCAAGAAGTGCCTGAGAAAACTAAAAAAACAAATCAAGGTTTAGCAATTCCCCTATTCATTTTCACAATGGCAGAAAAACACAGTGATTCAGGAAGTGTGAATCCAACCAAGTTTCAGGCCCTGCTTGTGCCTGTCCCTTGTTACCTACCCTTCGACCGAGGATTTGGTTGATGGCTGCGCTCTCTTTCAATGTGCATTCTGCTACAACTTTTGCTCTCATTTCCTTCATATACAACATAAATGCATTAAGAGGTTTCTTTATGTGTGGCTTCTTTTTCTCTTCTTCTTTTTTGGAGTCCTGATGTTTTCTGAAGAGCAAAGATAGAACAGAGAGAGACCTCACAATGAGAACCCCTTGTGAGTTTATTAAATTAATCCCCTCAATTTCTCTAGCATTAATCTCTAGGAAGAGGACCAGAAGGTTCTCTAGACCCTTCACCCTGGCTGCTGTATGGCAACAGTCTTAAAACCAGTATAAGAAAACTCACCTCATGTTTATGCAACATCACCAAGTACCCTCTGAGCCCCTACAAGGATCTTGGAAGGACATGGGCTCCAGAAAAATGGGCTCAGAGGGAGAGCTTGAGCATCACAGTAGAGGAAATAATTACACCTCTTTATCAATGGGCTCTCATCAGTTCAAACCTAAACTTGATACCAGCCCTCTGCAGCTTTGAAGAAGCCATTTATACTTAGTGGTGCATCTGTTATCTCAAGGCTTCTAACTAGACACTGAGTAATAGAGAAACTGGTCAAGAAACTTGAATCTCAATCAAGAAAATTCCACTTCCTTGTTGAAACAGGTGAAATTAGTAACTACTTGCCTATGACATTTCACAGCAAAAACATCACAAACCCAAGCCTTTTTACAAGCCACACATGCTTTGAGTATCCCAAAGAGAAGACAGGGGAAGCAACAACTTACGAGCTGTGGAGTGAGCCGACGTCGCTCTGGGAAGATTCCTGTTTGACTGTTGGTGTGACTATGGCCGGATGAGGAATTCCAGTTGTGTGTAAACTATGGTGTGGCGGGACCATGTGTGGAGGAAACCTAGAGGAGAGAAAGCTGTGTAAATTGTCAGAATAAAAATGAATGAATGGGGAGGGATGTGTACACACATTTAAAAAAAAAAAAAAAAAAAACCAACTGGCATATAACAAGCACATGACAGCTAGACAAAGCATATGAAAGCTGGCAGCATTAATTAGCAATAAATTAAACATAATGACTCTTCTAATGTCATTAAAGCCAATCTTCCCCTTCATTATCATTACTGACACGAGACATCATGATTTTTAACATTAACAAAAGGCGAATTCAACTGGATGAACTTGCATGAAGGTGGAATTTCAGCTACCTGAAACAAAATCCACCAGTCCATTTCTTTGCTGAGAAATTATGTGTGGCAGCCAAGGAATCAATTTTTATAGTTTTGAATCATGTTGTGAATTTAGGATGACATCTTTTATTCTATATTGACAGCAAAATAAAATATTAATGCCAACACATTCTAGATGCATTTTTGATAATACTTATAGACGTCTCATTAGCTACATTTTGTTGATGGAGCAAAAGAAAATATTTATTTGTGTCTAATAAATCTCTGAGCCATACTGCTTTAACAGAAGGTGGAAGATTGTGGAATTTTTGATCCATTTAAGTAACCTAGAAAGGCTTTAACAATCTAGCCTTTCTAAAGAGAAAAAAATGTTGTCAGCTTTATGGTTTATGGTCATATACATGGACAGATCCCAGTCCTGCAAGTGGATTCAGAGGGATATGCAATCCTTCTGCATGAATCTAATTGCTTGGTCGGGATCACAGCACAAACATGGCACAATCGTTCAGACTTTTTATATTTTATGAAATATAAAATAAATTAACAAAATTCTCAATGAACAAAAATGAACAAAATTCTCAAAAGCAGGATTGACTTATATCATTGTTTCTCAACAATCTCAGAAAGGCTTTGCAGTAAATAAAGAAAGCACAGCATGACTGACTGCCTTCCCCCACTGAAGTCAACAAGTTTCCAAGGAATGGGTTCTAGCCTAAAATTATGTTTCAGAAGTAGCTTTCCTCAAAATGCCAAAATTAAAGTGATCTGGCAAGGGCTTTTCTCACTGCAAATCCCCACTCTCATCCCAGATTTTGAACAATCTGATCCAACTAAAATAACCCAAGATTATGGAACACTCAATGGGATAAATAATTATTTCTTCTATCATCAATATACAACGATTTTTTCCTATACAAAGGATTTAAAGTGGGGTGATATAGCATGGATATCATCGTGTATAAGCATCAGAAATATAGTGGAGTTATCTTTTTCTCTCCCCTCGGATAAATTCCAATACCAAGCTTAACAATCCCATCCCCTGTGATTGCCTAGACATTCTCTGCACTCACAAGATGACGCAGAAGTACTTTCATGAACAAGAGCACTGTCCACTACAAACTCTGAGGATCTTTTGTCTATCAGCTGGTAGTACTCAGGGTGATTAGACAGAACTATTTTGTCTTTGAAGGCAGTGGTGGGAAGAGCAAGGACTCACAGGGAGAATGTGAAATTGTTCAAGTTGTAGAGAATTGCAGTTCTTCATGAACAAAGGCACGGAGAGAAGGGAGGCAGGAAGGTGGGATGGCAAGGGAAGAGGAGAATGGGCAGCAAAATGGTCATTCCTACTTCTGCTAAAGACTCACGGACACAAATCGCCAAGTGGGTTGTCCAAGTGCCTTCCCACTCTCTGACAAAAGTAGCTGGGAGAGAAGCACACATTTGAGGATATGCTTTGGTTCATGGCAGGTCAGAACAGAAGACAATGTCGAGGCTGCAAAGGAGACTGGCATCCTTGTCCCAGTTCTGCCACAGAACTGCTTACCATCAGCAAGATACAAACTGGGCCTTTGTATTACTTTTTTCTGTTCTTTCTCTACTTCCACGTGTATGTATTTTGATTGGACATATCTAAAATTTGTTCACAAAGCACCTGGGACCTCCAGACATGGTACAGTGCAAATAAAAACTGGCAGTATGAGCTGGATTTTTTTAAAAAATAACTAACAAACATGATCAAAAATAAAAACAGTGGTAAAAAACTGACCTTGCTGAACACAGTCTAAGCACAGTGATAAAAGGTTGAGGCACATCCTATCAAGGGACTGTCCTAGGCAAGACCCAGTGTTTCAGAGAGGACTATGCTGCTGGGGCTGGCTAGGCAAGAGACAAAGGGACAATGAAGGATGAAGATGGAGATGAAAAGCCTTCCTTCAGAGAGCAGGCAGGAAGAACTCTGCTGGTCTGACATGAGGGCTCAGCGTGAAGTGCAGTGGGCATGTACCAGCAGGGAGAAAATCTAAGTGCAGAGCACAGCATGCCCACATTGTGTGAAAGCCTGAAGGATGGCAAAGCCTCCACTGACCTCAGCTGGGATATTTTACTCACTGGGCTCTAACCTCCAGAGACAGCAGCCTTCATCAACAGGCAGCTGCAGCTCAGTGGTTATTTTCAGGGTTGCAGTTTCCATGAGGAAGTGCTGTGTTACCAATGACCATTCACTTTTTCATACTGAATCTGTCCAATTCACAAGGCTGCCTATTGGACTTACACACCCCTTCCTATATATTAGGGCTATAAAAACATGCTCCAGAACCCAAAATTGCTCCCACAATCCCATGGACTTCCATTGGTGGGATGAGGGTTCACCCCAAGATCTGAGTGCCTGCTCATTTCCACGCAGACAGCCACTCAAGTGGCAATATGAGCAGGGGAAGGGTGTTAATTTTTAACTTCCTGGCTATGCTCCAACTTCAGTAATTACATTCAGCAAAAGTGAATTTCCCCTGAAATTTCAATTACAGAAGGTATTTTCCACTGCCACCACTTAACTGCTGTGCAGTGTTTGTCTGGTGTAATTCTGCTAAATTATTTCCTGATTTCCTCTCACAGCAGTTGTTTTTTTCATAGTGGGTCCACTGTTTGCCCATCACTCAGTTAGCCCTGTCTCCTTTTACCCTAAAGGCATATTGCAGAGGGGTAATGAAGGATCAAGAGGTCTTACAGGCATACTACAGGCATACAACCTGAGTGTGGCAAGGCTACAAGCAACAACTAAGAGTTGTAACTGGTTAAAGACACTACCTTAACAGTCTAAACCATTTATGAAAAATCACTCTAAGTCACCCATTAACCTTTTATAAACTATTCATAAGCACACTTAAACTAATAAACAGCAATTTCTAAGCTTAGGGAACGAAAGGTTGGGAAGCACTACAGGCCCCAAAGATCTACACCATAATGCTGGCAAAGATGGGAACTATTTCTGAAGGCAGGCTCTGGAAAATTGTGGATGGAGGGGTGAGGTTTGAGATCTGTGCTGACTTCAGTGCTGGGGCCCAGCCAGCACAGCAAAGGCAAGATTTGCAGCAGGGGCTTTCAGCAGGGCCCTGCAGGGCAGTTGCCCAGGGCCAGCACATCTGGAGGCCAGCATGGGCACCAATCTCCTGACCACACCAGACACCTGGGCAAGGGCTGTCCCCCTGCTGAGCCCAGGCTGACACAGGAAAACATACATGAAACCACATATGAGAGCACAGAGCGTGTTCCCATCTAGGGGAAACCAGAGGAGAAGTTTCTGGGCTGAAACAAAGGGTAAACACCTAAAATCAATTCATCCCCCTGCACGTGTGCCCGAGCACGTGCGCACGTACGGGCTTCTGTCAGAGACAAAAAGAAAGGCTCCCTGTGTATGTGCACACCCCTCACCTTCGCCTAAGACATTCACCAGATTTTTTTTCTCTAGACAAGTATTCCATGAATTGCAATAAACAGCCTAAAAATTCTAAGCAGCTCATTATATACTACTGTCTCCTTTTATGGCTCCAAGCCAGAATATAATGATGAGTCTTAACTTGTTAAGGACAACTAATTTTTTGTTCCTGGCTGTCTCAGGGGCTTCTCTCTTACTCACTCTCACTTTACTTCACTGTTGACATGTTTCTGTTAACTGGATGTCATCTGCCTGCCTTGATTTTATGCACAAGCAGTGGGATGCATTTTTCTGTGCAACAATTCTGCTTTGAGTTGCATTAGATTTGTCATTATTCTCTCATTTTCCCCTTGCACTTGTAACATTTCATCTATTCCTGCCTTATTTTTTGAGCCACGGTGCACCCACATTATGGTTTATACATGATCTTGCTCCCTTTGAAGCCGGCAGATTTCAGAGCCAGCCCTCGTCAGGAGAAGTGCCTGCTACCAATTTAGCAGGCTGAGGGCCCCGAGCTCCAACAACTCAATCTAAAGGGGGTCACAGGGTGGCACAAGCGAGTGTCAGCAAGTGCTGTTTAATTGCCAATCTAGGCTTCTCCATGGTGTTTAAAGTATAATGACCCATCACTTAATTCTGAGAAGTCCTGGCCCTGCTGCTGAATGGAATGAATATCAAAGGATGTGCTAGAACAGGGCAAGGAGCCTACATTTCCTATAACTGCCATAAGTATAATAGACCTCTACTTCTGTCGTCCCATTACCACAATAATGTATTTAATTTGCTGTGTACTCTTTTTAACTAGATACCTTTCATAAAGTCTATCTTGGGAATATAGCCCCCCCTGCTTCCACATCTCCCCCCTCCCTCAAATGACTAGCCTCTCTAATAATAATTAAACTAAATCAAGCTCTACTTTGCCTCACACCATGCCTGCAAGTCTTTTATAGATATTAAAAAAGATTAAATAGGGGGAGGGAACCATTGTTTAAATTTGCAGCTCTCTCCCCAGCCTAGTATTTTTTTCTGTTCTGGGACTACCCTTTTTTTTTAAAGTTGATTTTCCAGTTATCTATTTGCTGGACCAGCATTTTAATTTAAATTTTTAGGTTTTTGTTTACTTATCTAAAGCACACATCACACTGTTTTCCCTCCCATTCATTCACAAGCCCTAGGTACTGATTTCCACTTCTCAATGAGGTGTGCTTCCCCCCAGCCCTCACCAGTCTTTTCCTCCTTAGATCATCTATGCACCAGTGCTCACATATTAAACTGCAGAGATGGAGAGGAAGGGACAGAGCAGAGAAGAGATGTGGAACCTTGCTATGTAATGCATGCTAATTTAATTATGTGCCATCATCAAAATGGATTAGCTGTTTCAGCCCATCAGGAAAGTCTAAACTTCCACCGATTTAATTAACCAGGCTGAAAATCAGATGAACAGAAAATAAAACTATCATTAGGAGCAATTACTGATTACTTAAACATAGTGCTGCCAACCAGTTTGTAAATAAAACTAGCAGCCCCTGGAAAATTAGATGGAATTAATTGGAGGTAGGGAGGGGGAGAAATATATACTTCTAAAGCTTTTGAGGGTCAGGCAGGCCCTTTTATGTTGACTATTAGTGTTTGGAGCTTTGGGAGGGGAAAACAGCACAATAACCTTCCTCCCAACCCTGCTGAAGAGCAGTCCTCCTCCCTCCTGAGCCTCCCTCCTGTGCACTCAGTGCTGCTCTGGCTGGTGGCCACCGAGAAAGCAAAGGCTATCACGACTTCTCATCCCTGCTTTTTCAACATTACACTCTCCCAGCTCTTTCATTTAGTTTGGCTTTTAAAGGTGGCTTCTCACTCCTCCACCTCTCCCTCTAAGGCAAATGCTTGAGGCCCAATGACAGCTTTAGGACACCACCTTCTCCTCACATGGGAAGGTAGCCCTCGCCCTCTCCTCCACCCCACCAAAAAGCTAAGGATGCATGTTTAACTGAAGTGCTTTCAGGAATCTGCTGGCTAGATGAAATGCTCTCCTACAGAGAGTGGGAGGAGGAGCTACATTTGCTCTTGATTTAGGACCTCAGTATTTGAACTCACCTTGACATGGAAGCATTGACGGTCAGAGCTGTTGGGTAGGGGTGGCGGAAACCCCCTGTTGTGATTGGGTACACTGGCTGACCTTGCCTGGCAAAAAGGAAGGGAGAGAGAGAATGAGAGAAAGGAAAAAAGGGCTTAAAAAAAAAAAAAAAAGAACAACAAAAAACTTCTCTCTGCACAGTAAGCTTTATTCTCATTTGATCAGAACAAAAATCTTGGGGATTGTACAGCAAGGATCAAAGGAAAGAAACACAGAACAATTTGAATGCCATAAATCTGATAGGAATGGCTAATTAAATTTTATAACCTCTGCTTATGTCAATAGAGACCCTCTCCCCAAGCTGAAACTAGGTGTTTTGTTGTAATAATTAAAGGCGAAGTCTCGCTTGCTTTAATGGAGCCATCACACTAATTGAGGGCTACACATCCAAAGGAAAACAATAATGAATGTAAATTTATACCAAAATAAAGTACAGTGAATCAAAGGACTTCAGTTGCGCTTTGGGCCTCTTTCGGTATTTAGATCTCGGTGAGAAAACATTAAATTAACAGAGCTTAATTTGTAGCCTTTTGTCAGATTAACAAGTGTTGACAAGAGTTACCGGGGGAGAGTCCCCAAGAAGTATTGTGGGTAACCAATAGACAATCACACCTCATTACAATAATTAAAAAATACAGCAACATGCAAAACAGCATCCTCATGAAAGACACACAACTTTTTCTGACGGAGGTTTGTCTGTGCTGGCTAGCTCGTTTCATCTGTCCTTCAAATACATCATCTGACTGGGCAGGATGCTTTTGGAGCGGGTACTATGCAAGAAACATGCAGGGCAGTGGAGGACAGATGGGTTGGGAAGTTGATGGTGAAGTGCAAGTGGCAAGGAGAGGGGAAATTAAAAACTTGGGTTACTTCTGTGAAGCTGGCCATGCTACTCTCCTAGAGCAAAAGCCAATGTGATGGTGTCACCTCTCAACAAAAACCACTGGGAGAAGCTGTAAGAGCTGTGGGTAGGCTCTAAGCACACCATGGTGTTGACTTGTTCTGAAGCAGTGGGCATGGCAGAGCTGTCCAGAGACAGAGGTGGCCATTAGCACCTGTCTGGTGAAACTGGCCACACGTGGCATCATTCATGTGCTTTGGCAGCCATGGCATGAGGTGCAAGGAGGACAAACCTGTGTCTGCACAATACAGACACACACATGAGCAATGGGGTACAGGTCAGGGACAGTGAATAGTTTCTTCCCTTCACTCTCATGTCTTTCATGTCACTGACTTTTGGCACTGGCTGAGTGGATTTGTTTGAAATGTTGAGGCTGCTGCTGTGCAAATTTGAGCTAAGGAGCTCACATGCAGTCTACAATTGTTCAGGGTGTCCTTTGGAAAAGGTAAATCACCACAAACAGGAGGAATTTCAGATTTCAGGGAGCAATGCTTTGGGTTTTACTTCTGCTTATGATGTGCTCTTCTGGAGAAGCAACATTCAGCAGAGAGGTGATGGACATGCTTCACCCTCAGGGTGGGTGAATCTCTATCCAAAATAGCTGCATGACCACCACAAGGAAGGACAGCCTCCAAAATGGCCAGAAGCTCCACCTCTCCTGCATCAACACTTTTGTGCTTGAGAAAGGTCTCCAAGGCCTCTGATGCCACCACCTCTCCTTGCCCAAGACCTGGGGATATGCAGTGACCTCCTGCCCTGCCCTGCTCTCCTGTGGGGTATCAACTCCAGTTCCTCACGGAGGAACTTGTGAAGAGGTATTTTAGCAGAGTTGGCCAAACAACCTCAAGCAGGAGCAAACTATTTTGAACTTTGGGCAATTCATTTCTATAAGAAAATATGATCACCCCAAAACAGAGGAGGCCTGTTACGTGAGAAAAACTGGGTAAAGTCTTGATTTATCATGCAGAGAACTGTTGTATCCAGCAATACAAATGGATTTTATAAACATTTAAATCAAATATACTATACAAAATACTTAGGCAGTGCTTAAGTATATTATAAACCTATTGAGAGATGGCAACATAAATAAAAGAAAATAAGGACTTGATTACTGCTGGGAGCCTCATACCCAGCAAGGCTGTGCAAGTGGGATCTCAGGAGTTGAAAATGAATCCAAACCCCAAACTAACTTTCCACTTCTTTTTTCTTAACCAGTTTTAAAGTAAACTAATTCCTTTTTCTTGTTTAAAATTCCATTCCTTAGATGCCAATTGCCAACTGCCCAGCCACATCTCAACTAGGAATGCTACTCATGGCCGATGTAAAGCTCTACTGTTTCATAAGAAAAACAAAAGGGTTTTCAACAGACAAGGCAAATGAAACTTAAAATTGCAAATTTGTAGTGAGGATGGCCCTAGTAAAAACAAAAAAACCAAGGGTCTGTGAGAACCACCCTGAGTCCCCAGAAAACCAAATCTGAGAAAAACTCATGCAGTGCAGTGTAAGGGCAATAACAAGAAAAGGACATTTCTGCAGAAGGGTTTAAAAATTCATGCTTCATGAGCTGTCAGCTGGTTAGGATGACATGTAAAGCTGTGTCAAACTGCTCAGGTTTGTTTACGACCACATGACCTGGCATATATTTTAATTAACCTCCATGAGGTGGGTAAATTCACAACACAGTGAAGTAGCAGTTGGCAAACAAACTCATCCCAGTGCACACACATACATACACACACACAAATATATTTTTACATAAATTTTACATATCAGAAAAAGAAAAAAAGAAATTAAAAAATGGAACTCCTTACTGTGGTACTAACCATCCTAGCGGATGGGGGATTTGTCCTACAGTGCCTGGTGATAATGGATAATAAGGAGATATATCTGGAGGATGTGGAGGCCTTGGAATTCCTATAGAAGAGGAACATAAAGCACCATCAGTATTGAAATATGGAAATAAATGACATATAAAGAAAAAATGCACATTTCTAAATTTCTATCAATTTACTTTTATTACAGTATTTGTGACTTCACTTAGGGTTTTCAAAGGCTTTTTCACATTCTCATTTTTTAAACAAGAAAAAATGATGTTATTCACTCCCTCAGTCACCTCTCCAGTCAGAGATAATTATTTTTGTTATTTAGAATTTAGCAATCTCAGAAACAATTTTGGTGTGATGCTGTACTAGATATTCTCTTAAATGTTCAACACAAAGATGGACCCTGCAACAGCTTCATGGTTATTTTAGTTTCAAAGTCAGCCAAAAGACCCCAGGCCCAACCCATGTGGTGACTAGGTACTCAATAACATGGCATTATTCCAAAGTAATCTACAGAACAAGTTTAAAAGTCATTAAAATTGCAAATGATGTTTGCTTTTGAGCAAATCTAAGAAAACTTTTCTGAAACCAGGAGTGGAGGTGAGGACCCCTGGAAATGCTTGGTAAAACCAGGGGCAGATGTTGAAGGTGTGCAGGGGAGGACAGAGAGCCCACCCATCCTCTCTGGACTGAGGTACAGTTCCTACTCAGAAAGCAGAAACCAGCTCCAGATACAAGCCTTAAATATTAAGGCTCCTTACCTTAAGAGCAAATAGGAATTACTCAGAGGAGTAAGGGTTACAAAGCTGGGTCTTTCAATTAACAAGCCAGGGCACAATTACACAGCAGAAACAAAATTAAAACAGAGAGCATTAAAAAGAAGGGGTACTGTATTCAGGGCTAAAAACTACTTTTTAAGTCACTTGGGAAGCTTTTAATCTCTAAATTAAATCTCCTTGTGTGACATTTTCAAGCAGACATTGCTTTTTCTCCATTACAAAACCCAAACAGATTAACTGGGCTTTAACCATCCAGTGAGCTATTTGCACACTTGAAAGAATGTTCACAGAAGAAAAGTAAACAGTCTACAGACGTTAATCATATGTTTTACGATAACCATTTAAAAGCTATTCCCTGTACTGCCATTATTTAAATGAGAGGTTGACTATGCCATTCACTTGCAATACCCAGGGATGGTGAGATGGATTCCTTTCAAGCCATGTGAAGTCAGCATTAAGCACAATTAAAAGGGGGCCCCAGTTGAAGCATATCGAGTGACAACTAGCTAATGCACAGTCTCATTCAAGGGCTGGAGTTTAGATAAATTATCTGCATAAGTTAGGGCTGACACAGAGTGACTCCTTTGACATGAATTCTGTTTCTGATGAACTTCACAATTAACTAAATGGGGTTTGGATTAACAAAACCAAAAACCACTGTCACTAGGAACTCAGCACAGCCTGGAGAAAGAAGATTGACACTGTTTGACTTCTTTGGGACCTCGGGTTAAAAAGGGACTCTTAAAAAGTTAGAATAACATGTAAATTCTACTCTGTAACACCAATAAATCTAGTCAGGATTTTACGTGGTGCTCTATATTCAAGCAGAGTGCCCTTCAGGCTGAACTTAGAGTTGGGTAGACTTACATTGGGGAAAAGAATTGCAAGTGTAAAGCTGGAGCTTAGTTACAGTGGATGAAAATTCAACATTATAGAAGAAAAATGGCTGAACTCCTGACACAGAAACAATGGGATTTGGGGAATTAAAAGAGATTCATTTTGAAACCGGTCATGACCCACCACCTTTAAAATTCCAGCTGCAATTTTGTAAGTGCAGATCACAGAATGTACATGTTTAATTCTCTGGGTCGTGCATGCAAACCAAGCACTGGTAGATTGAACTACCAGGTGGGGTATCATGCTTGCAAAGAAACACACCTGCAAGCGACCCCACACATGCAACTCTGGTGTCACCCTGCAGAAGCTCTATGAAAATTCACCCAGTAGGTTTCCTTCTGAAGTCTAATTGGCTTAAAAAGAAAGTATTTTGTCTGGCTTTGACATTTTACATGCCCCCTTTGGTGCTCCAGCATGGGAAATCCATTCTCCCGCACTCCTCTCCCCTAATGTGCAAAAAGGGAAGATTCACCCACTCCCTCCCAAAAGAAACCCCAAAATACTTCCCACCTACCTGTTTTGGGGTCTACGTCAGCTGGTAAGTGTGGAGGAGGGTTTCCTGGTGTGAAGTGCTCATTGCTGTATGTGATAAGCGGCGTAAGAGGGTGTACATGGTGTGGGTGCTGCACAACTGGCACTTTGTTAGACTGTCAAGAGAAAAAGGTTGACACTGTTAGAGCAGTGCTGGGCATCCCCCCACTACAGCATGAGGTACAACACACAAAAAATCTGAGTAGCCAGGATTTCAATGTGATCCTCAGACTTTTCCAGATTCCTTCTTGGCGTCACCCTTGCAGTTTTCCCACCCTCTTGCTTAAAACCTCCTCACACACTTTCCCTGCTGTTGAGGTTCTTTAATCTTTTTGACCTGTCATGCTCCTGTATGGAGCAACAGCAATTCTTTAAAATTTTTCCTTTTTCTTTTATAATCTTGTGCTTCACCTCCAAGATGCAGGCAGACTTCTCAGTGAGGGGCTGAGAGAGCCCCCCATTTAATTAGCAAGAGACCCAAATGCTCAATGACCTGTAGGTCTTTTCCTCTCCCCTTCCTGTCCTCACTCTCAGTTCTGCATTTTACTGCTCATTGCAAATACTCCAGATAAAAAGCCTTTGTAGTGCTGGAGTATTCCCTTCATCAGCAAGCATTAAGCTGACAAGCGATCACCTGCATATTTTATATATATATTTTAGAAGAGCTGATTAATTATCAATTCATCAGAGAGCGCTAATAAATGGAAACTGGATACTGATTAATTAGGCTACTAAAATATTCAGCTATATAAATAATGGCAAAACCCCCCAGATAAAGCCATTGAAATTAACACTCTTGTAGGGGGAATAATCACGTAGATATCATGAGGTTTTCCCCATCACATTCCTAGCTCTGGGGGAAAAAAAATATTTTTCTCAACAACAATTTAAAAAAAAAAAATTAAAAAGGAGTGAATGAATGAAAGAAAAAGGCAGGCTGAACTGTAACTTACCCTTACAAGATCACAAAGAAAAAATTAAGCTGAAACCAGCTGAACCGCTGGACCATTTACTGCGAGTAATCCAATTGCAAAAAACCCTATTCCCCATAGAGGATTTTCACTAAAATCCTACAACAGGGACATTTAACCAGATTAGGTACCAGCAAAGATAAAGAGGCTGGTATTAGATGATGAATGGATTAGAGTCAGGTTTCATTTTAGAATGTGTCTTCATTTCCTTTTATTACTTTAAGTAAGGAACAACTTGCATTAACATCAAGTAAAAGGAATCACATTAAAATAAAGTAGTGATACCATGGTGGCCACGATAGCGCCGCTGCTGTTCAGGGTCTGCCAGCACTCTCCTGCTCACCCTCCTGCTCCAGCACAGCTCCGAGCCCACTGCTCACTCCCCAGCACCCCCAAACACACACACACGCCCTCACCGTGCCACCTTAGACAAGCTATTGCTATCATCTGATCTGGCTTCCAATGCTCTGAGCCTCCCTTAAAAGCATTTCAAAAATAATTCAGTTATTCTTTGGGAATGAGCTTCTAGACTGCGGGGAAGGAAGAGGGAAGACAAACTGGGAGCAAGGAAGAAGAGAAACATCTGTCTTCCCTGAATGAACAAGAAGTCACTCCACCATGCTTTGGCTAAATGAAGCCCCTTTGGCTCCCCCAGCCCCAGCCCCTGCCATAAGTGGCAATTTGGGCTCACTGCTTTGGTAACTGCAGGAAAAATTGTGCATCCAAAAGAAGCCAGACAAGGGCTGCACCTGTGCTTCCCACAAGTTCTCCTGTGTTCTTCACCATGTTCATCTCTTTCTGCACCCTTACATGGGATGATTCCTCTCCACCACCAAGCGCTTGGCACAGGGGATTCCCCTGTCAAGTGGCCACCACGCAGGAAAGAACGTGGTCACAACAGCCAATGCTATGATTAACAGCAGGTTGTGCTGGCTGGGCCGTGGGTCAGATCTGCCAGCTGAACAGCCAAGGACAACTTTTGGCCACACGGATCCATAATGGTTTCACATCAGGAGGAGATATGAGAATTTGGCTCTCCAAGTTCAAAAAGCCAAAGGAGATGCTCTAACCCAAAATCTGTTCTCTTTCAAGTGAACCAACCCAAGCAGTGAAAGTAACTGAAGGCTTTGGTAAGGGTTTCATCTAACAAATTATATTTCACACCATACAAAGTAGCAGGCATCTGCTCAACAACACATGACATTACAAGCCAAATGACCAGTTGATGAGGTTCACAAAAATGATCATTTCCAATAAGAGCTATTTTTTCCGGCCAAGAATTGTGTGAACTCCTGCTGTTCAGTGACCCACAATGTGGCCCCATTTATTGAAGAAGTTAATACATGCTGTAGCTTTGTGCTCTCCCAGCTCTATCTGCACATCATTGTAAACCTCACCCAGACCCTGACAGACATTAAGTGCTGTCTTTCACAGAGAGCTTATTTTCACAGAAACTGGAGCTGGTTAGCTAAAAAAATAAGTAGAATAACATTAGAGGGTCAGACTTAAGCCGACAAACAAGAAACAACATGTGAGAGGAAAGCTGGATTGACATGGCTCCATCACCAGAGCCAGATGTACCATAGGGGGTTACATGTCAACTGTGGGAAACCACCACTCCTTGCTTTGATATACCAAGACCGCCCACAATATCTCCACAAAACAGAACAACTGCTAAATTATTATGTATTTCACTTAACATGTTTCAGAGATAAATAAAAAGCAAAAAGAAAAACAAATAAAAATCAACAATTAAGAGCTTGAATCTTAAGTCCGTAATTTTTTCCCCTGGTAAGTAATTTTTGTTTGGGTTACTACCATGCACTCAAATGGACCACTCATATACAGGTGCAAGGGTAGGATTCTCTTGTGACACTGATGATGCTGGGGCAGAGGTGGGGGGAGAATGCGCCAGAGGAAAGGGAGAAACTGTCATATACATGCTCAAAAACATGCTCTCTGGAACAGAGGAGTGTGATCCACTTCCCAGAGAGTCAGTCTGCATCTGTACCACTACCCAGGGACAGGTTTCCATTCTGTTTTGCACTGTTTAGCACACACTGGGGAAAGGGACCATAACTCCCCTCAGAACAGCACACACAATTTGCAAGCCAAGCTAAACATGCATAATATGCTAAACAAGCTGCTCTTTAAAAGTATCATTCCTGAAGTTAACTAAGCTTCCTTGGAAAAGAAAAATAAAGGACAATCTGGGAAAGAGCAGGATTAATCCTGCAGATGCATCTTCCTTTGAAGTCAATGGGAGCTCTGCCTGAGTTACAAGTGTGGTCCTAACCCCATCCACTGGCAATGAAAGGTAAACCACAGAAGCCATCAATAGGAGACAGCCATTAGATGACTTTAGACATCCCCCTGCAAAAGGCAACATTCTCCAATATACATTTGTGAGCACTTTATCAAGGGCACTTTTAAGCTAAGAGCCATTGTGAGATGCAGGCGTTTCTCTGGCAAGTTGAAGAGCTCCATTTATGGCTCTGGCAGGCATGGGAAGGGGAGCTGCACTGGTACACACAGATCAGCATCAGGGCATGTGCTGACAGGACTGGAACAAGTGGAGATTTCCAGAGAGAAATCCCAACACCTAAGAAGTACCAAGCCCTCTGCTGATAAATCACCCCTCTCTATTGAAAGCTGAGGTCTCATATGCTAGGTTACAGGGCATGGTAAAGAATTGCAAAAAGGCAAGAGAAGTTTGCTTTTCTTGGTAACTGCTGCCTGAAGCAACCAGAAGAAACTGTCCCCATAGGGGCTCTACTACTAAACCTCTCTATATGAATTTGAAATGCTTCTGGGAGTGCTTAAACACAGATCAGTTTAAACAATAATGGAGCTCTAGAACAAAAAAAAATCCCGCACCAAAACCACAACAAATTTTGGACTGATAAATGTTTGAAAGGAGTACTGAGATCCATTTAGACTAAGTTCTGATAGGTGCCTTTAGGGAACAAAAAAACCTATCTGAACTTCAGATTTAAACTGCAGGGGATTGTGTGTATAAATTGCTGTGTATTAGTCTTTGTTGCATGGTAAGGACATTTCATTAACAGGATGAAAGATGCTTCTATGCGTATACAGTCCAATTTAATACACCCCACTGATGAATACTCCCCATTTATTGAAGAAGTTAATACATGCTGTATAAATCAATAGTTCCTAAGTCTCTGAAAGCAACATAGGACTTGCATAAGATGAAACATTGTATTGTTGAGCACACAAAGAGAAACCAACCTCTAAACAGGAAGAGTTTACGACGGCAATTTCTGCTTGCAAATTCATGGCTTGTTTGGCTTTGGCAATAAAACCACAGTATCATATCAACTCCGAGTCAGAAAAAAAAACATGCCAGAGACACCAGAGGATGTCCTCACCAGGATAATGTGGGGTTAGTAAAGGCAGGTCTGCACAAAAGCCACCCAGGCTGAAAACAAGCCATCATGCCATGTCAGCATGGCAGCGGCCAAAGCCTCTGGCCTCTGACTCCTTTCCAGTGCATCCCGAGGGCAGGGGAGGCTCCTGCACCAACCCAGCCTGAAACTCCAGTAGCTGCCAGCATAGCCCATGTAGCTGCAGCCCTTTCCCTGGCCTGGGTGGCCTTTGAAATGTCCTTCAAGCCCTGGGAGGTGCTGCAGCCCACCGGGCACCCCTCAACCACCCGTGACCAGGAGGGACTGAGCAGGTGCTCACACCCAGAGCCCAGAGCCCTGGCCCCTTCCTCCACGATCAGAGGAATGAGAGCTCTCCATCCTCCTTAAAACCTATTAATCAAGAGACACTGAAAACAAATGGAGCTAGAGCTCCGCCTGTCTTTTTGCCATGTCCTCCTCTTCCCCACTGCTCTCCTTTTCTGCTGAAGAAAGATGGGCCCTGAAAGTGCTTTTCTGAGCCAGTACAATACAATAAAACAAAAGCAGCACAGAAGAGGGTTTGTCAGCCTCTTCCCCTCCTCCAGGGTGGATGCAGGTCGACAGTGGTCTTGAATTAGTAGGCCCTCCTGGAGTTGCTCCCCGGGCTTAGCAAGGAGTACCATTCAATACCAGTGCACAATAAAAATGTGTTTCTCTGTATTTTCCTGCTGATGCTTTTGCAGTTTTGCTGACTGTGGCCAGCGAAATGCTATCAGATGC